AACTCAGCTTTACGTGGAGCTGCTAAGCCCTAAAAGCTTGAAGTATATTGATAGATGACTGCCTCAGGGCTAAAAAATGCTGAGTTTTTTTCTGGAAGCACAGTTACTTCCATGGTACAAAACATTTGCCTTGTTAGATTTTTCTAATATTCAGTTGTTGTACCTTAATTCAGAAAAGATACACAAAACACAGCATAATTATTCCAGCAGGGATCAGAGTACTTCTTTATAGCTCTACTTTATTCATTCTCCCTGATCTCATCTGCTCAACAGGTTGAAAATAAAATTTAGTGTCCTTGCCAAGTTCATCCTGTAGCAATTATTCCCACGTGCACTGCATCTTTCCTGTCTTCTCTAAAACACATGCAGTGTTCACTGTCTTCAGGATACACGCAGACACATGGAGTTTACAGGAGTCTATCCTAAAATCAGTCAGTCAGGTCAAGTTTGCAATTGAAATTAATTGGTAGTATCCTTCGACTATGCCCCCATTGAGAGGGGATGAAGTAATGACTGGTAGGCAGTGCATTCTCTATATATTGAGTTGTGTATGTTGTTTGAATGACCTTCTTTGTACCATCCTTATCAAACACCTACTTTTGTTTGACAATCCCAGTAATTAAATGCACAGGGATATATTCAGCTCCACGTTCTGGATTATGTGATTCCAGTGAGCAGCAGCTAATATTTGTCAGCCACTGCATACTGCCACTTTATCCGTTTCTCAGACAATGGCAATGGCGACTACAGTAACAGTGAGTATTTTATCCTATCATACACTGCATTCTTCTCAAAAGGGGCTGATACACATAAGAGGATGCAATAGGGTTTTTGCTTTGTTAAATGTGCAATCATGTACTTGCCTTTTCTCCTGTGCATACTCACAGATGCAGGCACGTAAGCTCAGTAATTCTGAACTCCACTGAATCACAGGGCTATGTACATAGATTATGATAGTTGTGAAAATCCAAGCCACAAAAATGGATTAATATGCTCAGTATCTTAATCACGCTTAATATCCATTTCAGGGACATTTCAAATATTTTTTCTCCCTGAGAAATCATAACTGCCATGCCTTCTGGTAATAACTGTGACAGACAGTGGATGGAATGAGATGATATAAAAAGGGAAATCAATTTTTGTTCCTTTCTATGTAAAAATTGCAAAACAAACCTTTGTTATTTTCTTTACGCAGATGCTATGCTAATTTTACAGATCAAATACTTATAATCCACTTTGTATCTTTACAAACGTCTGATTTGTAATTGCAGGAGAACTTGAAATTTAAAATATAAGCCACACAAGAAGAGGGAAATCTCCAACCTACGGACAAGAAAAGTGGATTCCCTAAAGGAAACAATTCTACATAGAAATGCTAATGTTTCAAACAGCAGTGAGAACAAATGATTGCCTCACTGCAGCACTAGTTCCAGAAGCAGACAGTATGTATGTAGAGTCACAAACATGCAGAGTGACACATTTATTATTATTTTTTTAACCAACATTCACTTTTCACTATTATTTATTTTCTTCATACAAAAGGCATCAGCATTTTTCTGTTTTAGCAACTATACCTTCCCCTTCAAGGACTACAAGAAATGCTGATGTGCTAGTTTTCACTGCAGAGAGCTAGGACACTGGATGTTTCAGATGGATGTTGGATTTTGCCATTTCTGCAAGTTTCAGAAATTTCACTTACAGGTTCCACTCCGATTGAATTGCATAAAGCTCACAGTCCTTCAACAACTGTAAATTAAAATAGTCTATCAAAAAAGATCAAGTTCAAATTAATACAAATTAATATGTGAAGATTTTTGCCACCATCTGAATTTCTCTGGATTCACTGCATTTTTGTTACTGACTGTGGCAACAGCACATCCATCTGCTAACTCATATGAGAGTTACAATTTGTCAAACATGCCTTATGTTTAAAAAACATGGATTTTTTATTTTTATTTTTTTAATCCTTTGAGCAAGTCTGGTTTACTTCTTTAAAACATGCCACACTCCTTCTGCTTCATTTGTCTTAGTCAAACGGGCACAGACAAGAGCATAGGAGGAAAGAAGGGCAGGGTGTCCATAGAACTGCGAACAGCAGTTACTTCAAGGTCACTAGACAGCAAAAGACATCTGTGCATCTGAACTTCATCTCCCTGTGCCCATAAGGCGCTTTAAGAGCTGGATCTTAAAAGAGAGGCAAAATAAGCACTAACTCTAGCCATAAAACCTTACCTTCATTTTTCCTCCTGCTTCTAAAGAAGCTTTCTATCTTTACTGAATAAGTTAACACAGCATAAAGAAAAGATTAGCTAATAATATTTTAATTTCATGAAGAAACTCATACACGTCTACATACACATTTCACAGTGACTTAATTTGTTAGAAAGCCTTTGTTTCACTTACGTGCACCTAAATGCAGAAAAAAAAGGTCACCATAAAAAATGGCAAACTACTCAAACATCAGCTCTTTGTATGACTTCCAGTACCAGTAGCAGCTAGTCTCTGTCCCAGTCAGAGCTAGTGACCCAGCACTGCTATGTAAGCATGACCTGGATTCCATTGTTCCTTGTCCCATCAAAGGAAACTGTCATCCAAGCTCTAAATGCTAACTCTTTATTACTATCAATGCATAAGAATATGGGAAGGGAGATTAAGAAACAAAACCCAGGTATATCCTGCACTATACACTTGTGACTACAAACAGGTAATTACAAAATAAACACAGTAGATCTCAAACTCCATAAGAGGAACTAAGCAGAGACTCCCCTTAACATACATTCTTCTTTTCTGCACAGCAACTTTTCAGCTTGTGGCTACTCTACAAGAGCTCAGCTCTCCATACCAATTCCTCCAAACCTGAAGGTCATGCTGCTGTTCAGCAGAACAAAAAGAAAGGCTACCCAAATCCAAACAATACTTTACTGTGAAACCAACTCCACTTCCAAAATATACAACTGTAACAAAAGATTGTACAGTAAAAGAAGGTGCCCAGTGACAGAAGTGAGAGCAGAATTTAAATCTGACTTCTGATATACTTGCTACATTCACAGATCATCTTCAAATTTGAATGTGAAAACACAGTCAGAAAAATAACTTTTCAAAACCAGGACATTCAGGCACACAAAGCTGGTGTTCTATAAATCCTCAGCTTCAGAAGAATCACAGTACCAGACATTTAAAGGTAACTCCTGCTCATATTCCTCATTACCAGAGTAGACGTTATGTGCCTACTTCACAGCAGTGACACGTATAATCTTTGCTTCATTTCATCTGCTGAAGTTCAACTGGTATGCCTATTCCTGGGTCTCATTAGTGTGTTCTACAGATATTGTTAAATAAGTTGGCAAAAAATATTAATTATGCAAGTTCATCCCTGGTCTCATTTGTTTGGAACAGATAGACCTTCTGTATTTCTTTCAAGCTGAATCTCTCAGCGGGTGTTCAGTGCATCATCTTCCTGGAGTCTGGGGGCAGATTATTCTTAACATTTCTGCCACAGTCTTACAGCTTACAAACACCTGAAAAAAAACAAACTATTGGTTTCTTTAGCCCCTTGCATTTGCCCACTTGTATCTGCAATACAGATACAAGGATATGACCAGCAGTATTTAGCTTAACGTCAAAGAAAGGAAAAGATCTCCAAATGGTGCCTGGTTACTGTAATTTTCTACTGTTAGTATTTGAACAGTCAGTATACTACAAATGGTTACCAGCTAACTCATCACAGAATCATAGAATCATTTGAGTTGGAAGGGACCTTTATGGGTCATCTGGTCCAACTCACCTGCAATGAACAGGGACATCCGCAGCTTGATCGTGGTACTCAGACTTCCTAGAGTCCTCCTGCATAAAACTGTCTTCTAGTCAGTCATCTTAACTCTCAGCTACTGATGTGGAATTAATATATCTCGAATGAAAACAATCACTTTCCCTTTCCACAGCATTATAAATTCTTGCCATTTATCACAGCGAGGGTCAAAACCGTGGAAGCTGTTCAAGATAAAAGAGATCTACAGATGTCTGCCTTCTGTGCATCTGTGAAAAACACATATCTCCATACATATCAAATTTGCTCACTTCAGAGCAGCAGGGAGGGTACGGAGGTAAATGTTTTCCATCAGGTTCATACCATGGCATGTTTTTGCACTAAAAGATCAAGCTGTGCTTTTCTTCCTGTTACTTGTACTGCTATCAGTCAAAGGTCCCATAAAGCAAATGTGTTCTGCTTCTTCCTCCTAATGCAGATCAGGCCTTCAGTGGGAATGAAGGATCCCAGTTTCATTTAGGAAGTATATTTGTGTGTTACTTAAAGCACACATCAAGGACAACAGTTGTTTAACAGTCCTTTATACTGAAATTTCACTAACATCATATAAACTCTAAATACAGTTTAATAAAGGGATTGGGGCATTCATAATCCCCAGGTTCTGTTTCTCTGACTGCACCCTCTGAATATACAAACTAGTGCTATCAGTGCTCATGGCAGGAGAGCTGAATTTACCCAAAACGCTGACCTTACAGGTTGAAGCCATCTACAGGAGTGTATTGGGTTCTTGGCTTCATCTTTGCAAAACTATATAAATACTAGAACACAAGTTGGACCTGAATCCTCAAAACCAATTAGGTTTACTAGCATGGTCATTTGATCTTCAGTTTTAGAAGTAACAGAACATATCACAGTTGGTGATAAAACAGCTTCTTCCTTTGTTGAACTGACTAAACCTCTGCATTTCAAATGATACTAAAATAAAGCTTTTTGATTAATCCAAGACGTTAGTGATACAATTCCTAAATGAAACTTCTCCAGAAATGCTTTGCAGTTAAATTTCAAAGTCGGAAAAAAATGAAAATTTTACATTTATAATAGGAAATGTGAAGAAAAACTGTAAAAGCACTCATTCTCTCTGCCATGCCACATGTTTTCTAGCAACGTCATCCAGCAGCAGATCTCTGTGTTCGGTCCAGGCTTCAGGGAGTGGGAGGCAGCCAGAAGAGTTTACCTGTCAAAAGAAGGCTTCTCTCCACAGTCAAACGCATCCTGCAGCTCCTTGACAAGATTAGCCTGCCCAGGCAGTCGGAAGAGGCCTTCTTCCTTCAGCCCCCGCTGTCGGATGAAATCCACGCACTGCTCCACCAGCATGGGAGCCAGGCGGTTCCCATATCGCTTCTCATATCGGACGGTGTCTTCTAGCTTCTGGCCAAAAATACCTGTGTGAAGAGAGGTAGGACTCAGTTGTGATTCACCAAATGATACGATGAGCCTTTGTCTTCTCCTGCAACCCATGAGATCTATGGCTCTTCAATGCACGGACAAAAATCCACCCCTCTCTTAAGGATAAATCGTTTCATTTCACATTTGATCCCCTCACAGAAATATGATGGAAGCATATTTTACAACAATGCTATCAAGCATTAATTTAAAAGAAAAATAAAAAATAGCCTGTAAATGATTTTTTTTTTTAATACAAAAAGGACAAAATTAATAGAAATACTATAAATAGGATTTTCTGTCACAAAACTGCTGATTCGAAAGTGATGCATATCTCCATTTACTTTGGTTCATGTCTAATTATGTATATAAAACTAAGTAGTTTCCATGTGAGTTTCAATGACATATAAACATTATCTTTACATGCAGAAGGGAAGAGATTTATAAATATAACTTGGGATTTCATTTGTTCTGAACCAAACCATCAATTACACTTCACCACTTAAGCAAAGATTATTCCTATAATTTACCAGCTGCATTATCACTTCCGCAACTATAAATGGTGTACAAAAAAAAAAAAAAATCATGAAATGAAAGGTGAAATACGTCAGACAAACTGCAGGAAGCTAGCATTTGGCTTTAACATCAGCAGAACACAGAATTATACTGAAAGAATTAACTTCAACGCTGATCTGAGGATATCACTGTGGGCACTGGAAGGACAGTTACTGTTTGGTAATTATTTTCCCTCCATTTCGAGCTGCAGAGCCAGCCATCACTGGTATTATCACAGCAATGTTCAGCATATCATCTGTGATGGAAGCTCTCCCTCGAGACCATTTGTTGACAAGAATTGGGGCTGGAGCATGGCAATTCATTTTCTATATATAGCAGCACAATGAGCAGTTCTAAGGCAGCCCATGATAAGAAACTAAATACCAAATAACTACCTACACTTGAAAGACTCCTTTTGCAATTACTTATGTCATAAAATGGGGGAGGTGAGGGATAAAAGCGATAACACAAATTCTGCCCTTCACTGGGCACACAGTTTGTACCAATTTAAAAATACTCAAGAAGAGGAATGGAGTTGTTTTGTTTTTTTTCTAAAGGAAGCACAGAACTAGAACTGAGCTTTCACCCCAAGAATTTCATTCACAGAATTTGCCTCTCGTCACAAGAACTTAATTCACTCCCAAATTAGTAGACATGAGTAAGTAAGCACAAGCTAAGGCAGGATGCAGACTGAAGCATTCTCCAGAGTTACCTTCAGTGCACACGATTTTCCTGCAACAAAAGAAATGATAACTCACGCCTGCCCTTGAATTGAAAGTTATCGTGCATGCGATCCAGGATATTACAGCAAACTGTCAGTCACCCATCCTGAGGGTCTGGGGTCTGTATATAACTGCAATTACTTTTATGATAACAGAGAATGACTGGAGAGAATGGATATACCCAGCTAAAGAAGTCCAGAAACTAGGCTGAGATGCAGAGCATCACGTTTTGTGATATTCATGCAGCTCCTTCGCGTGGCTGCCAAAAATAGCAGTGGGGAGAGTGGGGGAAAAAAATATTACAGTCACACTTCATTAGCCTCCCTTTTTTTTTTTTTTTCCATGTTGCATAGAAAACAAAAGCCCCAAATTTTCAATTAAATAATGAATTTTTAAAATTTCAGATTGAAAAGCTTAGAAGAATGCTGAATGATGTAAAATATTTGGTGTCCACTAAAGCTCAGCTTCTTCACACTGTCAGATGATATCGTGTTTTCCCACTTCTTTCATTCCTCCCTAATCTCTTGCAAATTCCCTATGGGCATTGCAGGAGGGTTACATAAATTTGGGCTTCCTGTACCTGTCTGACTTAAGGGTTTCTGCTGGTCAGCACAGAGGAAATCCTCAATCCCTCCACTTCCTAAACTCTCTTTCCAAACAAAGTATGATTTAGGATAAGATCCACTGAAAGTTAATTAAGGAATCAGTGTGAATACAGGAACTTGGTGATTTCAAAACCCCTTCTGCATTTGGGATGGCATCCAAGACCTTCATCCAAAGACGTGGCATCTTTAGGGAAATCAGATCAGAAATCACCCCCAAGAAATCTGAAGTTGAATTTCAAAGTCTATGCATTCTGAGATATTGTTGAAAGAAACATATCCTTCCAAAAATAAGCACACATTTACATCCACTGAAATAAGTCTATGTCATTTTTCAGTAATGGGATGATGTGAAAAACTCCACTGACCACCAATTCTTTATCACTTGAGCCTTCTGTGGCACAGTTCAATGGGCAGATGAAAGAAGTGGCACATGACAGCTTCAAAAATGGTTCCCAGACTCTCTGGGCAACCTGTTTCTAAACTTGACTGTCACTGTGAAAAACATTCCTGTTTCGATGCATGTCCAGGGTCTCTAAGCCTTCCCCCCTGTGCTACCGCAAGCAGTCCTGCTCTATTCTGACAATATTCTCTTACAACCTGAGAAAGAAATTTTGTTCTACCTGAAAGACTATCCCTTTCCCTGGCAAAACACATGCCATTTCCTTTGCCTGTATCAAAACAGCACATGCCTCAGCTCCCCCACATCTCGGTGCAGAACTTGGCCCTCTTCCTCTGAGTTTGGCCTATGAAAATTGAGTCAGAGCTTCCCTTCAAGAACCCTTCAAAGTTCTTGTTTTGTTTTTGTTTTTAAACAAGAATTTCCAATTCTTTTCAAACAAAATTGATCAACAGAAAATGCAAATATTTCAATTATATGATATACAATTACGTTGCATATCCACTGACAGTGAAATTAGTACGATAAGCTCTGTCTCATTAGCCATACTTCCTTCTCTTCGTGCTAACATTTTTTCAATAATGTATGTTTTGCAGACCAGATTAGAACCTGTAGAAGAATAATTTCTCAAACCTACCAGACTGCTTGGAAATTCCTATCCGTAATGACACCACAGTCAAAACATCATAACTTTATATTAATGCATTTTCATTCTGTTTCTTTTTCTTTCTTTCTAGTGTTGGCTTTCAAAACATGTCCAATACACATTGAGTAAAATTAAAGGATTTTGTGCTGGGGGAGAAAAAAAAAGCCTACAATGTTATAAGTTGCTGATGCACCCCAACACAAGGTGCAGTATATTTAAAAGATCTGGCAGCCACGAAGCATTAAAACATCTGTAAGTTGAGGTAACCAGTATTTTTGAACACACATAGAAAGTAATAACAGATTCACATACTAAAAGCGATATACTTTAATTGAATATAACTGACTTGGATCTGCATTGTAGCAGCAATTCACAGATACTGAAGGAAAAAACCTTTAAAATAAAACAAGCAAAACTTATAGAATTTAGTGTGACGGAGAAGTGACCAGTGACGTCATTGAAATCCCACTCTTACTACCTAAAGTGTAAACGCAACTGTTTCTACTACTGGCTGCAGGAAGGTGCTTTACAAATTTTGGGACTTTTTCATTCAGACACTTAAAATACTCATAGCTGAGAATGTCCTGGGGTAGAGGCAGAATAGCTACAGCAGTTGTCTAGATTTGACAGATTGGGTGCAGATCCTACATGACCCTCACAACACAGTTGCATCCCATCTGGTCATGTCCATAATTAGGGTCTCAGGGGTCCATATGCCTTACCCCTCACATCCCAGATTAACCCTCAGAAACTCAGCTTTCTTACTGCATGAATGGAGATAACACTGTACTTCCTTGGGGGCATGAGGTTCTCCACTCTCTGCTTTGGGAATCCCATATCTAGTTGATGATTTTGACAAGCATGCAGTAACCTGAAGTTAAGATCTCAGTCTCATGGAAAACCAATGGGAAATCACCCTGTTACGTATTTAAGCACTCCTAAAATCACCATTTACTCTACTCGGTGTTCTCCAATTTGTTTGGCTTTGGCATTTCTCCCAGACAGGCTTCGCTTGATTTTTAAGTGCAGACTGAACTTCTCCAAAGAAAATATTTTCCTCACCTAATAAATGCAGAGCACCGCACCAGGCAGCACTTAGCCACGAAAGGAGTTGGTTGAGATAAGGCTGCATAAATATTGACTTGAAGTTGCAGACTTGCTGATGTCTTATGGAAAAAGCACTCTGCTGCCAGGGGCAGAAGTGGCAGAAACATGACAGCACTGCTTCCACAGGTTTTGTCCTAACTTTTGTCTTGTTCAATATCTTTCTGTTTCATGTTGGGTTTTTCTACTGTTTACTGTAAAGGCCAGATCAGTGCCCCGTAAAGGTTCCTTTTCCTGCATCATCTTTCTCAGGTTCTTATATCACAAGTGACTACTACAGAGATACTGCAGATTGGCAGTTCACAAAGACTAAGATGACAAAGTAAAGGCAATGCTCTGATCAAGTGTAGTTACAAACACACTGTTAACAACTTAGCAGAGGCAAAGCTGAACACTATTAGCTATGCCTTGTAATAGTGGCAACTCCTGTATAGAGAAGCAGTGAAAAGATAGTCCAAATTACGGAGACTACATCATGACCAAAGCCACAGAAATAATTTCACATGACATTTTTTTTGAAACGTTTCTACTACTGTAACTAAAGAACAAAAATTCCACAAAGAAAATGAAAGAGCCCTCAATGTTGCAATCCATATCCAAGCTCTTCTAAATCTCAGAGTCTCCAAAATCCAGAAACACAAGTGCTGATCCACGGTTTCGGTTTATCCTAAGGATAGAGTGTCAAGAAAACCTGACATTCAGAATGGCAGCAGCTTGCTTGTCTGCCTCACAACTGGAATATGGCAGCTGAATGTACATGTTTCCAGTTCTGACCAGTCTTTAGATTTAATCAACAGAACTGCTTTTCCAGGGAGGCCCTGGTAGGTCTTAAAGCTACATCCAATTAAGCCAAGATCATGCATAACATCAAAGAGGAAAATCACATGATAGCAAAGGGCACACAGAGTGGTTATTCATTAACCAGAACATTCCCGTGGCAGAAGTTTTGTAAACCTTTTGAGAAACTGGA